ATGTCGTAAGAGGGAAGAAGAAGCGAGAGAGTGTACGACCTCAAATCACGGGCGTCCCAATTTTACTTTCATTTTGGGCTAAGTCCTCTGTCACTTCACGGTATCCTATTGGTAATATTTAGGAGGTGTTTACCCGGTATGAAGTAATATAAGGGGAATGGAGCTTATAATCCAGGAAAAAGTTGATCAATTCAACACTCTACAAAATCGGATGTAGATAGTGATGGGGATTTACGGGACCTACGGTAGACTTGGTTTCCTCTTGTTGACACCCTCACAGCTTAAGAGTCGGTCATTCTCGCAATACCCGAGCAATCGAAAGATGATATAAGAGATGGTGATGACGAGAACTAGATATCTTGTTTTTTTAAGGTTTTTATTATTTTTTGTACACCTTATCGCATTTATATATTTATTTGATCTCAATTTATATTATTTTAATTTTATTAAATGACATATGTATTTTAATAAGGTTTGCTACTATCATTAATATTAAACGACTATATATATATATATATATTCTTCATTTAGCGATAGATTTGCGAGAAATTTTTGCAAGTAAGATTTAGCAACAACAATTCTGCTGCTATTTAGGGGCATAAATAACTAATTAACAATAGTTTTGTGACAGATAATAGATTAGAGAGATGAAAGTTTACTTTGATTTAGCGATGAAAAAAAAATTCGTCGCTAAAAAAATAGCAACGATCATATTTACTACTGAAATTACATTGTCACAAATCCATTGTTAAGTCTAAATAGTGACGGATATAGATGATATAACGATGGAAAAATCAGACATTATTTTCTGATTTTTCTTGTAGCGAGAGAGAAAAAAGAAAAATTAAAGAATGATAAAATTATATGTTCTGCTTCACAAAAGGATTCAAAAAGCATGAGGGCACACCTATACAATGACAAGATGAGACTATGGAATTTGTATGAAAGAACACACGATCTTCGCTCAAGTTATATATATATATATATATATAGGTAGCTGATAATGGGTGGGCAGAGGCAGAATATGATCAGCAGATATGCAATATTTGGCTACCCAATTTTCTCTACAGTTAAAAGAGACGTGATCGACATTGTACTTCCCAGAAGAGTCGTAAGGCCTGAATTTTGGACAATGATTTAACCGTGTTTAGCCGTGGTGTGCTGCCGACTTTCTAGACGACACAGGCAAACCACGTCTCTATCGATATAATTACTTTATTTACAAGACTAAAAATATGGTCGTCTTAACCTAATTATGATTACGCCATAAACCATTTTCACTCGTGACCAACTACTATATGCTACTTCACATCAAATGAAGTTTGAAACTCAACTAAAATGTTCCACAAGGCATCAAATTATTAATTATTAACTAAATTAAAATAGGTGGAAGTTTGACCAAATGGGTAAGAGACTGTCTTCTTATGGCATTCAAAAGCATTAATTTGATAATTATAATATGATCATGTTCACGCTTTATTGTTTGCATGTGCATATAAGTTCATATGATAAAATTACAAAATATGCATTGGATGTCAACCTTCTGTGTTTGGAAGAGCTTGCTACTGGCCGTTCTGGAACCAATTTTTTTTTCTTTACTTATAACTAACAAATTAACACATTCATCGTTTGAGACAAAATAAGCCTATTAAGATTCACTAACTCAAATCTTATTATACCATTTTTCATTTTATTTTTATTTTTTTGATCTCCTAATCAAGATCAGCCAAACAAGTTGCTTTCTCAATAAGGAATATGGAACTTTCTTGTCTATTTTTCACAACAGAGATCAAAGTCAACCCAAGATGCTATATTAAATTGAATGTCATGACTACAATTATAATCGTCGTGACCTACCTAGGGTGGAATTTGAATTTTTATAAGTCGGGGTGCCAAAATAAAATAAAAAAAAACTATTAGGGGGTAGTTTCAAAATACGTTAAAGATAGAAAGAGTAGAGTACTGAAAATACGATATTTTTGGAGTGCTAAATGCTCCACTATTTCGAAACAGTAAAAAAAAACATTTAAGGGTCATCAATCCTAGACTTTCAAAACTTAGAAAGTGGCCCCCCTCCTCCCCAAGCAAAGCCTGGTTTCCCCTGTTGTTTTCTTTGGGAGGTAATGGGCTAGCAGAAAGGAGGGAGAGGGGGTCGTTTGTCAGGTTACATTGTTTTCCAACAAAACATAACCCCATTTTTGAGGGAACAAAGCTCATGGTGGGAATATGCCTAACAATATCTCGAACCATTGTCAAGGACGACTTGCAGCACTCAAAGCCACAGAGGAGCAACAATAATTTGGAGCATTTTGCAGGCGTGTAAGTGCGGCCCATCATCATGTGCATCACATTATTGTTGACATAACACTTTCTGTCATGTGCTTAAAGAAAAATAAATAAATAAAAAATGATTGCAGGCAGCTGATTTCCAAGTTGTAGGTTTTTCTCTCACAAGTTGCTACCTTCAGCAACGTGCACCAGTTCCTTTTTCACGGAAAAGAAGCAAATTTCTGAAAATAATGTTTGTTGTATTCTTGTGCATGCCTTCCCCCATGCAGCGGATGGGACTTTTTTGAGGTCAAAAGAGACAACATATATTTATGATTGACATCATAATTCCAGCCATGTGAGCAAAAGAAAAGTCTACAAATGATTTCCAATTTTTATCTTTTATTGTGACAAAAAAAAAAAAAATGATTGCAAGCATTTCAACTGGTGTGCTCAAAAATGGAAAAAGAAAAAAAAAACGTGTTATAAGGAAGGTGAGAAAAGATATTTTACAGTCTAGTTTGAATACAGTGACATTTCAAATAATTAGTTCAAATTTCATATTTCGCATCTGTATTGGATATAAGATTCTATACAAGATTGCAGACTCTATTCGTTACATACGTTAAATATACGTCGTCAGTACAAGATTAAAAAAAAAAAAAAGAAGAAATTTTGAATGTTGTTTGGTCTAGAGGTTGGATTGTGGCTATAGCGTTTGAGATGGTAAGCTGTAACCTGTAGTAATGGTAAAAGGCAAAAGGGTTTGGTTAAAAAAAAATTGTTGGAATAATACCATGAAAAAGCTTGAAAATCTCCAAAATGGAACTTCTAAAATAAAATAAAAAATGGATTTTGAGTTTTTGACACAGGATCTAAACAAATAAGATCTGTTGGCTTTTCAGGCCGAAAATCTAAAAAAGCCCATCTCAATCTTGGAGAGAAAAGCTCGTCGGCATCCTTTAAAGCCCAAACTCCAGCATTATCGTGGTTCCATCAATAGTAATAACGGAAAAAGCCCAAACTCTAAGTTTATCACGATTCGTAATAACGGAAACTCGAATTAGCTTGGGTAGTAGTAACTTAACTGCCATTCATATATCTTTCTCCTTAAGAATTCTCATCTCTTTTTATATCCAAAAAAAAATAATAGAAATCCGTCTCTTCTCAACGTCTGCACAACAACTAATCTTTCTCAAAGGATAATTACCGGAAGGGCATCATTAGAGATTTACTGGAATGGTTAATAGTTGTAAATGATCAAATAAGACAAAAGTAAAATAGTAAATAGCTGTCAAAGATCAAGTGCGATAAAGTAAAATAGAAAAGAAACGAAACGAAAAATATATTGACAGAAAAAAGGAAAAAATGTAAACTGGGAGAGAGAGAAGTGGGGAGATTCTTGTGGAAGAGTGGGCTACTAGCAAAAGGGCATCTGGGGTCATGAATAAACCCTCTCTAGCCAATACCATTGGGATAAAATTTTGCACCTAAACATAGCTTCACAAGTTTGCTCGATACCAATGCACGTAGACCACAGTTTTAAATGATAATTGGGTTTGTCCATTATTGTTATTCACTGTCATAAAAGTTTCATCAGCATTCTAAGCAAATTACAATATATATTGTCATTATATAAAACCGTCATTTGTCAAATAAGGACATTACATCTTGAAATTGTAATTCATTTTTTTTTTTTTTGAGAGATTTTAAATTATTAGAAATGTTATTAACTTTCTCTGTAATAAATTTAATTATTATTGTATGATATTAAAGACTTATATGTTATTATTATACTTAATTAGTAAAACTATTTAAAATATATGAATAAAAATATATTTATTAATACATTCACAATACTAGTTGTGACTATCATTATTTTTCTATCATAATAAACTGCAGCCTGCAATTATAATCATGATTGTTTTTCCAACCCCATATGCTGTTTAAAACTATGACCTAAACATCTCAAAGGTTGGAAACCAAGCCAATAGCCAATGAATAAAAAGGCTAATTCTGCGCTCCCGATACACCTGGTATTCTTGGCTGTTCTTACTAGGCCCGCAAGCCTAATCTTACACCCTTGTATGATAGCCTAAACTTTCGAGCGGTTTAACCCAAAGAGCTCAGCTGGATAGTTGACGTCGTCCAGAGGAGCTGGGAAAAGTAACCTCACTTGCATTAGGAAAATGGAGCAAAGAACAACGTTTCTGCGCTGTTGGACCTAATTCCTCCGTGGTAAAACCAAAGGGAAAGAGACAGTAAAAATGGGGAGAAAAAAAAGCCTTAATACCTCGCAGCAGCTCTTAGAATGTCTACTCCATCTTTACACCTTTCAAAGAAAATAGAGCCTCAAGCCCGTACTTCTTGGAGTTGATCCTCTCCAACTTCGACATAAAACAAATTCAGTATCTATTGTGTTTTTCTCAAAAACTAAACCCTAGACAGTGAGTATTGGCTCCTTAAATGGCTAGTTTTAACGTTCATACCTGTTGAGAACAAAACTAGGAGTCCAATCATATGACACGTCCAGACAGACGTGTCTAAAACATACATGAACCATTAAATTTGTGGAAGAAAAGAGCCACAAGGAGCGAAGCACTAAGTGTTAAATGTACACTGTGCGTATCTCTGAATTAAAACTGGCAGGACAATGAAAAGAAAAATTCTCATCTTTCATTTCCCTTCCTTTCTCAATGTTTACAAGGAGTTGGTATTTGAAGATCTACAATCTATGCAACACTGTCATCAGAAAAGTAGGACTCGATACTCGTGGAGGTAATTATGTTAGATCCTGAAGCAATACCTGGTCCAGTGGCTGAAATGTAAAGCCGATATCTAACAAATTTCTACAACAGAAAAAAAAAAAAAATGACAAGTCAAAAAATATAAGAAAGCACAAAACTGGAAGCACAACAAGCCAAGTTTGTGTCCTGGAAATAATTAATTCAATGGAATACTTACAGCTAACTGAAAAAGAATATCTAGATTTGTTTCCAAATGCCAATCTGGCTCCAATTGCCGCACAAAAGATGATATGCTGTTCTCTGTGCTACAAAATAGGACCTACAAAAACAATAACGAGTTCGAGTCAGATTCATAAATTCATATTTTGAAAAAAAAAAAAATCAAATCATATATAACTCAATTCAATTATATGCTGGACAAGTTTCTGCAAAATGCTTAAGGTAACCCAAAGAAGCTTGAGTTGAGTTCAGTTTGAATTCAACAACTATAACCAAGCTTGATCATGCCAAAGAGTAGGTCAGCTTCAACCTTAAGGTTGAATTAGCATAGGTTATCCATAGAAATCTGTCCACTGATGCTTATTTTGGTGGCGTAAGGTCAGAAAGAGATTTTAGGTTTCTGATAGCAGACGAGAGGTGCTTCAGTATATTTGATTAAAACTCAAATAACTAACACTAGCAACTCCAAATATTTTAGAATTCAAATTAAAGGTCATTGAACTTTCTGCAGTTTAAAGAATAGAAGGGATTTCTAGGTTTAAAAGATGCAAGAAATTGGTATGGACTAAGGTAGCAGAATGAAACTACACTCTGGAGGGTCCAAAGTGCATCTGCACATAAACATGAACAGGGTCCAGGCCAAGCCTCTGAAAAACTAGCTCCTTTTGCCCTGAGTTGTTTATATGGAAAAATTTGCCTAATCTTTAACCCTTCACATAGACTAACCAGAAACAACAATATTCCTGATTTGTATATAATGTTTTGAAGTATATAATTATTCATGCAAAAGCAGCTCAAATGTTAAAAATTATATAAACGTCGCATAAACCAACAAGTTGCGCATTGGACATGAATTAGAGGAAGAGCAAAGGAAGGTAAACAAATAATAGAAAAAGAAAAGGGCTTCTCTTCTTAATACGTGAAAAAACCAAATGTATATCTTAATATCAATAAAACACACTCTGTAAACCACGCCTGAGCTCACTGTAGCAATCTTTTCTTCTTCTTCTTCTTTTTTTTTCCATTCTATATATTTAGGGCCAAACTTGAATGCAATCACTATCTGCCACCAAAGCATCTACAGTTCTACATGCTATATTATAAAACCATCTTAGAGACGAAGACCCACCCCGCTTATAAAGAGTCAATTTACCATCATTAATTGTCATTATCATTACATACATGAAGACATCTTCCAGAGGAAAAATCATTCTCACTAATAGAATGCTTTCAAGAGATTTGGCATGATGGGCGCACATCAGGGTCCATTAAGTAAGCCCACATCGTGATCATTTTGCTGTTTTAGCCTATTCCAATCATTTTAAACTCTCCTTCTCTCACTCTCTACAACCTAGAACCACTATACAATCCAATATATCGCCATTAAAATACTTTACTCCATAAACCGATCCTTTATACCAGCTCATCGGTATCATACACTATTGGTATTTGTAACTTCATATCTGAGCTCCTTAACTTGTTCCACTTCTCTTGACCCTCCAGATTTCTGTTTTATGATTTGTATCTGTATGCAACAATGGTGCTCACAACTATCTAACAGTCAGTAATTTATTAGAGGAACCCCTTCACCTCCTTGTTTCTAACTGAATTTTCACTCTTAGAACCCGCTTCATTTGAACCCGTAAATTGGTAGTGGTCTTTTTATTCAGTGCCAATCTAGTGGTGTAATAGCCCTAATGTATAATATACACATGTAAATGTGCAGACAAACTTTGGAGGGGAAAAACATACAGTTTTCTAAAAAGTGAATAAAAGTAGGTAACTTTCAAGAACAGGGAAAAAAAGATAAAATAGATCAAACTTAAAATGCAAATGTCAAAGTACCTTGTCTTTTAGTAAGCTTCCAAATCTGAAGAGGTTGGCATTTTCCAAAGCTGAGATCACCTTTTCCTGCAACATCAACATATTTTTTGTAGGTAATATAGTAGTTTGAAACATGACATTCAACAAGGTAGACAAAGGACAATAGAAAGGTGTTGAACATAAGATAAAAATAAAAGAGAGGAACAATAAGAAGAAACATCTTACAGCCAATTCACCATCTCATGTCATGGAACGAAATCAAATTCCAGTTTCATATCTCAGTTAACCAGTTCCATTTTCAGGAGAACAAACCTCAGCCACCAACAACTAAAATTAAACCAAAAGGTGGATAGAGAAATAATAAGCAGAAAAGTTCAATTATTCTCAATGGTTAGCTAAACCCTTACAATTGTCAGTTTTCTATCCTGGGCTCAGTACAGCAATAATTGAGGAATTTGATTTTCATAGTCAGTGCTAAGAGTGCATTATCGATTATCATTTCCTTCAACTATCTATAATAGATATATGGAATCCATCAACCAACTTGGAACCTTGCAGTTTGCCATTCTCCAAGTTTCCTTGGTTAGAAGTGAATATAAAAGTATGAAAACTTCATACGAATAAAGATGGAAAGGATTAATTTGATTTCTTTCACATTCCCCTATAAGAACTGCAACACACAAAGCTAATGAAACCATCAGCATACATCAACTAGTTATTTGATGAAGTGACTACCAGATAGATTTCAAGATGACCATAATTTACATCTTACCCCGCTTTTGTCATCAAGAGTTCTTTCCATAAGATAGATATCGCAATATCTACTTATTTCCAACAGTACATCCACCATGGATGCCCTGACGGTCACATGATCCTACAAGAGCACATTATCTTGCATCAGTTTCAGCTCCTTCTGACTACACTCAAGAACCAAGTCACCAACAAAAAACAGGAATAGACCTGAAGCTCATCAGGACTGCTTTCTTCAAGAATCACTCCCAGTAATCGACAAGTCATCTGCACAAAAGAAAAAATATACAAGTATGAAACAGTGGAAACCTTCTGAATTTTTAATTCGGACAACGTGCTAAAAACAGTGGAACCCTTCTGAATTAGTAATTTGGACAACATACTAAACCTGATGTAAAGGCTTTCTTTTTTAGGTAATTGGTAATCATAAGAAAAAACAATGCAGGAGGTTGAATTTCTCAATCACCATTTGCTAGCATTCCATAACAACATTTCTAGAATTATTTAACAAATAAAACATAATGGCATTTCATACAAATTGATTTACAACAAAATTTCCTGATTCTCATTCACATGCTCTCATTTGGATTCTTCATTTTTTCTTTACCAGTTACCAAAGATGTTGAGTAATTTTTTCTCAAAGTAGTTAGCAATCATAAAACATAAAACTCCATAAGAAAAATCTGAAATCTCGAGTCTTTCGCTAAACTAACACAATTCTTCTTCCTTTTTTTTTTTTTTTTGCCCGCAAACTAAATGCTGTGGCAAGCTCCACTACAGAATCCAAAAAATCTAAGAGAAGTGGAATTAAATTTTCGCAAAAACAAATTCTACAAAAATTCCAACTTTAATTAATTCAGGGGGTGGGTGTTAACATTATCAAACAATAAATTGCCGACCAACATCAACTAATTTAATACAGTGGAAATTAATTAACATAATTCGAATTAAGCAAGAAAACACATAAAAAAAAAATCAATAAAACAAAGGACATTTAATTTTACCTTTCGACCACCATTTAATTTCTTTTTCACTGTTTGTTGCAGCGAGAGCTGCACGCACCAAAAGGGAACAAATTAATTAATAAGTAAATAAAGGAAAAGAAAATATAATGTGAAACTGATGCAAAGGAAAAGAAAAAACCTTTGAAGAAGTGGATAACTGATCCTCCACAGATCCTAATACTTGATTATGATAACTTGTCGAAGATGCATCATCAGTGACAGTAGTGCCTTTAAGTTTTCTTGGTCTCAACCTCAAGAATCTCCAGGTAAAAATTATAGAAAGAGCAAAACCAACCACGGCTCCAAGAGATGCAGCACTCTGTAAATTTATTTGAAAAATAAATAAAAGAGGAGAAGGGGATTATGGGTGAAGCTTAGGTTTACCTTGCGACTGGATACGAGGAAAAAATGCGTGCTATTTTGCGATTGAAGCGATTAAGGAGTCGCTTTAAGAGGTTGTTTACTCCAACTCCCACTCCTCGTCCTTCTGTGAGAGCCAGAGATGCTGTCATTTTTGCAATTTCTTTGAAATAAATGAAAGAAAGTCTCAGCACAGCACTGCGGTACAAATTGATATTCGTGTGATATAAGATGAGGCAAAACGGGCGTGCGCGTACCCACCAACAACAGCGGGAAGCGTGAAACAGCGTTAGCTCCCGCCAACATATTTAGTACTTGCTGCTAAGGATACCAATAAGGTTCTGATTGTATTACCTCGTATGTTTCAACCGCTAATCCCTTAGTCTTTTCCGTCCAGAAAGTTAAACCAAACTAACGGAGCAAAGTATTTCAGTCCCTCAATTTTTTAAATTTGATGAAATCAGATCATTTATAACCACTAAATATTACATTCGGTTTTTAAGGTGAAAATGGTGGACCTAATCTTTTGTGGTTGTCCTCATTTATACTGTGGATTGAAAATACTTTGAAAATCATTAATTTGAATATGCTGCCTTTTAGGGCTTTTTCAATTCAGTGTTTGAATTGATTATTTTTGTTTTCAATATATATATTGGTTTGTTTAAATGGATTAGTGAAGCAAGATGTTGGATTTTCCATTGTATGATGATTTAAATTTTGTTTTTTTTTTCTTGTTTAGTTTTTTTAATAAATTATATTAAGTTTAACCTTCTCACAAAGAAATAGATTGAAAAATGACCATTTTTTCTTTCACAATGCACAAACCGGAAACAATTATGCGATATTGGTGCCCGAAACTAAAATATAAGGACAAATTAATCTATTTTTCCCTTTGTATGCACTTACTATTCATATTTTCTTCCATAATGTATATTTCCCACTTTTTGGATGGAAATGCCGCTCAAACAAAATAATAATAATAATAATAATAATTTTCAAAAACTTAAAAATGAAAAACTAATTTCTACAAAAAAAATGTTTTTCTTTCTCCCTTTCATGTTCCATTGTCTTCTTCTTTTTTTTTTTTTTTTCACACAAAATCATGGAGTACAAAGGTCACATTAACTAATAAAAATGATGAGATACTGTATTAAGAAAATCAAAATAGTAGAGGGACTAACTAAGTCATTAAATCATAATTTTTTAAAGGACCTCACTAGTGTTGATGTAGGATTAAAAAATTTCCTTACTTTTCACGGATCTTTTATGTAAATAAAAAATATGCAATATACAACCTGATAAGCTTTCGTCGGATGGTACTTAAGAATTGCTTCACTGGTGTATACTGATAACAAAATGATACAAGAATAACCAAAATTCAAAATTGCGGGGAGCTATCAGCTATCGGATAGTACCTAAATGTTTTTTCACTAGTAATGTCACCACCCAAAAAAAAAAAAAAAAATGCTATTTACCAACAAGATTAAATGTAGCATTGAGAAGAATTTCTTCACATTTTGTTAAAGAAAAAGAAGATCAACTGATCAAGCATCATTTATCCGTCTAAAAAGTAGTTATAATTCAAGCACCAAATATTCCACTCCAAGTTTCTCTTATCTCATGAATTTGTACACAAGAAGCTTTTTTACTCAAAATTCATCTAAAAAACAGTGATCATCAGGTTAGAGATTCTCTCCCTGGAGCCAAGGGAGCAACGGGCAGTTGGTGTGTTCTTATTATCCGGTGCTTGGGTTTGATATCTGGTGAGGTAAACATTTCAGGTTCCAAAAATGGGATCTCTACAAATTTCTCCATTGTGGGACCCATAGGTATGATGAGTGTGTACACAAAAGGAAGAATGGCCTCCTACCAGCTGCTTAGCATATACAGTAGTAAAATTTCTGTACTTACACAGACCAGATAAAATCCAAATCGACCTTGAGAATTCCCCATCAGCACCTTGGCTCCTGCTTCAGTTGGATTCCAGAAGGCGAGCCAAATATCATTGACTAGAGATACAAAACAAAACAAAACAAAATCAAGAAAAACGATCCATCAAAACCTTTACTATCTAGCAATATTACTTCGCCAGCACAATTATAGGTGTAATGTCTGATAAATGTTCCAGATCTGACTGCATAACAGGAGCAAATCAATTCTCTATCAACCACCAAAATTCAAATTGTCTAACAGAATGGCCGGTGAGTAGTTCGAAGTAATTGGGGCCCTCAAAATATCATCAGCCCAAGCAAGGGTGGAGGTAGTTGAAATAAACGAAAAAGAAAACAGAGAGAGATAGAGTGAGACTGAAGAACACCAAGATAAACAGTCAATCCAACAACACATTTCGGACAGGAAAACAATTTGAAATCCACATCACATGTTCAGGCCACAGGCACCTTCAAAAAGATATTTTGGGAAGGGACACCAATTTGGAAATAACACACACATACATGATCTGCATAAAAACTTAAAAGAGGTACATGTACGGATAAAAAGAACAACAAAAGGAAGATAAATAGAGCATAAAGGATCACCATTTACCAATAAATTTGTTATAAAATTAAGTAATGATCAATCTGAAAGGATATTTTAGTTTAAACATATTCTTGATGTAATTGCGTATGATAACCAAGAAAAAGTATATAATACCACCAATCATCCAAGGTCATCAGACCATCTGACTGTATTGGTAATATAACAATGAATTGCTCTTGCACAATTTTTTGTTTGATATTCATTGACACGTACGAGTCTTAATGCAACAAACATAAGGACCCCATCACTCATTCACAGAAATGTGCAATCGAATCAAATTGCATATATATTACCTGAATTGTAGTGGGCAATATACTATTTGCAAGATCCTCGTTAATGGACACAGGCAGTGGTGGCATCTGACTCATTATTCCAGGCATCTCTCTCATACTGCCAAAAACATAGCAGGATTTTCCACAACTTAGCAATATGCAGCCAACCATAAATAGTGTGGCATTTAACAGCACTAATACCAGAATGAAGATACTGAGAATCCACGTACTCATTCAGGATGGCAATGATATTGTTCCTTGTGTGACAAAAGAGGTCAATGTTATCCTGCAACTGTTTATGGAAATGTTAAACTAACAATCCATCCTCAGAAACCACAACTCGTCTTCTGCCACTCTAAACTTTTCAACTCAAATTTGAAATCAGTATCATAAACTGGCTCCTCAAACCTCTTAATAAATAAAAGAAGAGAAGTTGAGAAGTAATATCAAAATCCTAATGTTAAGCAGCAAGATCTTGATTTGTTGAAAATTCCACTAATATAAACACCCATAGTTTTAATTGTGGAGCAGTTTTGCTAGCCATCACAAGCATTACATAACAGCACACTGGCATATGTCCATCAACTTGCAGTGTGGCATTTTGCAGTTTCAACCATGCTCTGCTATTCATGACCTTCCCTTTTGTATCAGCCAAAGTTGTAAAAAATGTGATTTGTAATAGTAGCCCATGTATTAAATAGCAACCATTCAATGCAAAACTTTCTAGGGGTATACTGTCAATGTGGTTTTTCTTTTCACCAGGAGAACGAGGCAGGCACATAACCAGTCCAGAAGTACGCAATGTCATCTTAGCAAAGAATAAGTTATATCTACTATGTTCAAGATCATGTTCCGTTGAAGGGAAAAAAGGACAAGCAATGTTCCTAGAATATAACAAAACATGGTGTCTTCAATACATTGCAACAAAGTTCAACCCATCAATTACTGAAGGAGATGGATCAAATTTTGAGAAGATTAAGAGAAATAGCAGCCACAATATGTCCTTTGCACAAAGTACTGAAAACTTCTTAATTTGCATCCGCTTCTAGCTCTCAGCTAATATTTATTGTTTAAACCAACATTACAATAAATAAATAAATAATAGTAGCAGCATTCACCTTGAATGTAGAAAGGTTAGCTGAGATCTGACCAAAAGCTTGAGCATTCTGGTCCAAGAGTCTAGCTGTCCCACTAATTCCTGAAAGCCACCCAAGTAAATGAATATACTAATAAAAACATATAAACTTGCAACCAAGCAACTCGTAAAAGAAAGAAGAATTATGAAGGCAAAGGGCAATCTGCACGATGAAAATAAGGCACAACAAAAAATATAAAGCAAAGAGGAACGGAGGGAATAAAAGCACAAGCATTTTCAACAAGGGCAGAAAATGTTGAACAATATATGACAAATTACAAAAATATTAAACTGAAAGAAAATAACCCATATTGAGCAAAACTGTTCTTCTACAGCCAACTTTTGACAATCTAACTTTTTCTTACTAACTCAGGTCATTCAATCACATAACTGCCCACTTACCATGCTTTCTCTGGAATAGTTTATTGTTTCTCAGTTGTTCCACAAAAAATCAATTGCATTTTGATCCAAACAAACAAAACACCACCATATTGTCATGCTGTGGTCTGCGCCATGACCTACAGGATCTCACAAATTTCATCTGAGAGTCAAGGTCCATTTATATGCACGAGTTAAATCCATATTTTCCAGATTTGTTTTCTTTTTATTTGAACTTAGCTTAGATTGCCAAAGTGGTCAACAGAAGATTTTCCACAGCCAGGATTAAATGAAATGGAAATTTAGTTGTTTTTCTAGAATCCTAGCAGTTACCAAGCTCTTCTCCTATCTGTTTCCTTTCTAGCATCTGGACTATCAAAAGCAACTCGTTGCTCTCATCCAAATCTCAGCTACTGCATATTATTTCATCTCTAACAAAATTATATAATTACTCCTTTTCTTAGCCTCCCAACACTGAAAGTAGTTTAGTCTAACCTCTCCCCACCCTGCTTTTATCACTCCCCTTGCAAGATAGCCCTATTCTAACATTATCAAGCTATGCAACATGACAAAAAATTGGAGAAGAATACTCCGATCAAAGTGAAGAAATTGCATATCTGATTTTACATAGATTTTGACAACTTCCAGAAAACAAAATGCTTGAATCAAAAGCTATGAGGATCAAAGTTAACTCCATCTTCGCAAAAACTTGCCTATATTTCCTTTTCAAAATTCAACATAGTGAGTTTGAACTTTAACTTGGAAATCAAGTTTTTCTTTTAAATTCTGAAACATTGCATAGGAAAAGAAGCAAAACAGGAGCATCAGATTTTAAAACAACTATTATGTTTGTATGAATACACACATATTGATTAGTCAAAATTGCATTATTTTCTGCTGCTGATCTGCATTTTGTATGCAAATCATATTGCAAACTCCAACACATGAAAAGAGAGATTTGGACAAATAGGAGCCAGAAGTTAATTAATTCAGAAAACACAAACAATTGAGACAATAAATAAAGATGTTTCTCATAAAATGTGAAAAACTAACCTTCAAAAGGCATAGGTTCACTTTGGTCCATATGGTGCATCATTATAGGATATGCAGCCATGTTATGTGGTAAAGCTGCAACCATGTTCATCTTCGAGGATGATTCCAACAGCTTATCCTGAAGAAGCATGATCTTTAGAATACTGGTTCTTCAATCAACATTATATCCTAAAGACATTAATCATTTCAATCCATTAAGATACAATTTAGATTGTTGGTTCTACACTATATGTAAATAAGTAGTAAACATGAAGTTTACTTAATGGGGCTTTTTATAACTTGTCCAGCAGTGACAATGTAATCAAAATCAGAATTCCTGGTTCCACAAAAATTAACTATGCATATCTGCTGGCAGCAATATGGGTAAGGCTGCTACACACTTCAACTTGGAGAAGGTATCCACAACATAGATAAATTTAGCATTTTGGAAAGAGGATCACACCCAGAACAATATTAGGGCCAAGTATCACATTTCTATTCAACAGACCAATATAGCTATGGTACGTAAAAGCTCAATATTGAAGTTCTAGCGCATTCTTTAACCTAAACTTAAGCACAGTTTCTTTTTCTCAAAGCACTGAACCATATGATAAAACAAAACAAGCTTAGGATACCTTCCTGTTGTTGATCTTCTTTCCAATGCTATAATCTTCTCCTTTCCTTCGCTTTCTCTGCAGAAGATTTTCATAACCGCTGTTAAGTCACATAAGCGGATGTCGGGTAAACTTTAACAACAAATATCTGGCAAGCAGTACACATGATCCATGAGGTTGACTACTGGAAAAGGTTTTTGCCAGATAAGCACATAGATAACTGAACATCAGGTAATACGTCAAAGGATAAAGACTCATCTGTCTAGGAAATACCTCACTACAGTTGCCCTTGTACTTACTTTTGTTTATTTAAGAAGCTTAAATTATTGTTATTCCCAAGCAACCAACCAAAGTCTACACGTGTGATAAACATCTGATGCAACCTTTCACAGGAGCTCAATTTGGTTCAAGGAAAAGATGAAATAGGAAGTTCAACAAAAGAAGGTTGAATCTCACAACATTTCTACTTTCTATTTGAAGAATGAACAGGGAAACCAAAAGGAGCCAAATCTATCTGATTAGTCAAAATTTCCAATTTGATGATGATGTCTTTCAAAAGTTTCCAAATGAACTATGGGGAAAGAAAAGCCTACCGTCATCCATCTACACCTCAATGCAACATCACGAACAGTTTTATCACGGAGCATGGCTGCAATCTTTATGTATCTCAGAATACTTGGTTCATCAGAATATCTGTAAGTTTAAATAGACCCATCAGCATGTGAAAATTATCTACAAAAGTAAAAGCAAGTAAAACCCTCCCCAATAGGGGCAATTCCAGATCATATAAGAATAGACTGGTAAAAATTCATTGCAACATAACCACATCAAAGCAAACTTTAATAAAACACTGAAAAAATGAGAAAGCTATGAAACCATCATCAACAATGCCAGGGGTAAGTACCCATATTATATATAAAACGAACTAATAATACATAGGATATAAGTTCTTGATGTAAGAACATTACATGAATGAATCCTCAAACACATAGAACGAATTAAAACAAATAAAGTTTCGACTAAGATGAAAAAGGGAAGTAAAAATAACCCGGGAAACAAAAAGCCTACTTGTGAAGGCCTTCCTCAAGTTTGTACTGTTCCTCAACGGACCACTCCACAGCCAAGCCAGCATCATGCTTTAAGCCAGGAACGGAATCAAGAAGCAACGAAGAAGAGGCAGAAGAATTCCCAGCTTGAGCTTGAACAATTCCACCACTCCCACTACCACCAGGACTGGTGTTATTACTAATCATGCTGGAATTCCCAGGCAGCATCAAGCTACTACTAGTAGTAGTATTAATCCCATAGTAAGACCCCATCCCCATGGGAATCATATCCGTTGTGCAACCGCTGTTTATAGCCCCTGATTGAAACGAAATTGCGTGCCGATTAAGTGCAGAACCTAAGGTTCCATCTCGGTGAAACCCTGTGTTAGACTCTGCTGCCATTTCTTTCTTTCTTTTGGCTTTAAACAATCATCATCATCATCATCATCATCACCACTTCCAAACTAATTGAGCTCCAATCAAGAATCAAAACACCCCCAAAATCCAAATTCACTGTAAAAAAAAAAAAAAAAAAAAGCTGCTCGAGCTAATGTTTAGAGCTCAAGAACCAAAAGAAACCGAAAATTGGGGCCAACATACAAGAAGAATCTTTGAAATTGAACCCTAATAGACAAAAAGCCCTAACAAAATATTGGTCCGAAGCTGAAAAGAGAGAAACTAAAATAAATACATTGAATATCAACAAGTGTCCAAAATAAGTGAAAGAAAGGTCCTAACAGAAGAGGAGAAAAAAAGAAAGGAAAAGAAAGGGGACATGTGGTAATGAGAATGAGAGAAAAAGGAGAGGTGGGTGATTGAATGGTTTACCTTTTTGAGGTCTTACTTTCCGACGAAGCCCTAATTGGTTCCTTGCCCTCTATTCTATTCTATGCTATTGCCTTCTTCCTTTTCACCCCCTCACTTCTTCTCACCCCTTCCCACTTCAACAACACATACATACATGCCCATACATATCTACTGTTATCCTCTACCCCTATTCTAACACCATTTTTACCCAAAATTATGTTGCTTTTAGGGGTGAAGAGAAGATTTGCGAATCTCCAACCAGATTAGGTACTATCTTTTAAATTTACTAAATGTAAAAATATCTATATCTAAATTAAAAGTGGGTAAGAAATAAACTCGTACTGTTGATGTTGGGTAAGTATCACATTTTTTCTCTTTAAAAATAAATTCTTTTTAAAAAATAAAAATTGGTGGAGTTATTTTTATAATAGTAATAATAATAAATTGATGATGTATACAGATCTTGGAATTCAGCAACAGTGGCCCTATCTTGGAATTCAGCAACAGTGGGAATCCCCATAAGCATTTGATGCCAATTATTGTGGCCTCTCCACCTTTCCTTTTTCTTTTTTCTTTTTAATTGTTTTTATCCTCTTGGTTTTATTTATTTTTCCCTTTAACACAAACGAAACATTATTGAAGCCATTCCCATTCCCATTCCCATTTCTCCTCCTGTGATTTTGTTTTGTTTCTATTCGTTTTGTAGATTTTATGATCTGCCTTTTACCTTTTAACAAAAAGGTTTTGTATCGTTGTGGTTCCATATCATTCGTTAGCTTTTGTCCAAATATATATTTAAAAAAAATAGCAATCCTCCTTTCTTCTTTTTTAATAACTAATGGTTTAGTTTTATTCGGATAATTATAATCTTTAACTGTCTTTTTTTTTTTTTTTTTGGATTCCAAAACCCTAAAATTCCAAACTAATCTATCATTGTTCGATCGAAAGCACAAGGTGGATACGGATATATAAAGAGTTTTTTGCATACACAAGAATTCGAATCCAAAACTACTTATTTAAATGACTAAAGCTCCTCCTACTCAAATCGATTCCTCTTGGGTAATCTTTTAACGTCTTTAATTTAGTGAAAGTAATTCTTTTTTAAAGTATATTAATTAATCTTTCGAAATGATAATCGAAGTCAATTTTTTTACTCCATCCCATAATGAAAGTCTTTATATTTATTTAAATGTCTTAAAATATAGGTTTTTTTAATCACAAATTAAAAAAAAATTGAGTATCAAATTTTATTATTTTATCATTCTTTAAAAATTAAATTCTTATATTTTTTAATTGCATTAAATTTTAAAGGATAATATAGTAAATACAACAAAAATATATGAATTGACATATGTATTTTGTTATTGTATATGCATGAAAAAATCCAAAAATACTCTCTTTATGGAATGGAGATGGTTTTATATCTTTGTTGAACAAAATATTAATTAAATATACGAGAGTAAATCTAATTTGAAAATGATATATTCATGTAACTTTGATAAATAAATAAAATAGTGAATTAACGTACATATTTTTATATTGTAAATTTTTTCCCATATTGTATTTTCACCAAACACTAGTTATAGTCTAATAATTGAGTTATGTTGCTAGTTGATACTATGTTGTTGTTGAATATGCTTAGATTTTTCTTAAATTACTTGAATAATTAATCATATGATATTTGACGAATTAAGTGAGATGGTTTTTGTCACTACGAATAATCATATTTATATTTTCTTTTCTTTTCTTTTATTTATTATTAGTATTATTTAGAATTGCATACTGTTTCTTCGAATAAGCGAGTATATATAATTTTAGAATACACAAAATAATTAATGATGCCAATTAAATAATTAGATTTGAACATAACTCTGTAAGAATTCATCAAATTCAAATCTAATAGTTTAGCTAGCATTGAAATCTTCCAATGCCAACGAGTGCAACAACCTCCTTAAACTTATGATTTTGAAACATAGTTTTAAGTAGCTATCGTTATATAATACAATGATCGTTATATAACGATCACGAGCATTACGTTACTCGTTATTTGGTGTTATTTGCACTCTAACATCATTTCAAAAGAATAACAATAAATAACATCATTATCGTTATATAATATCGTTATTCGCCATTAGCCATTATTTGCGGTTATATAATGACATTATACATAAAAAAAAAATCAAAACTTTACCCTAATTAATCACCGACCCAAATGATATGAAAGTAATACAAGAAAAAAGAATAAATGGGACTTATAGAAAAACATGGTAGATAATCAAAGAGAGAGGCGAAAAAAGAAGATGAGAATTGAGAGGTAAAGAGACGAGGAAAGAAGGATGTGAATTGAGAAGGAGTAGAAGAGTAGCGAGAGAGACAAGAAAAGCAAGATGTGAAGCGAGAGGGACAATTAAGAGAGCGAGAGAGAGAGAGATGAAAAAAGAAAGGATGTGCGGCGAGAGATAAAGAGAAGAGGAGAGAGAGGGGGCAAAAAATAAGATGTAAAATGGAAATATATGAAAATGCAGGAGTGTAGGCTTTAGTTAAACAAATTATAAATTAGTCTCTTTAGTTTGAAAAAATAATTTAGTTAGTCCTTGTTTCAAATAAGAATTATTTAGTCCATTTTATGTTATTTTCTAATTTTTTTCTTTTTATTTAAAAAAAATAGATAAAAGTAAATTTATATCATAAAAAGATTAATGGAAAAAAAATTTAATGAAAGAAAATAATATTACATTAAACATGATCAATATTCATAAAAAGATTAAATTATTTGGTTTTCGAAAAAAGACTAATTAATTTATTTATCCAAACTAAAAGGACTACTTTATAATTTACTCAATTAAAGTCTCGCATTCGTATAGGTCTTTGATTTCGTGAATGCAACTCAAATTTGGTTTAATAATAAGGAGTAAACTACACATTAGTCCTTTTAGTTTTGATAAATGAATTAATTGATCCTTCTTGTTTCAAAAACTAATTATTTAGTTTTTTTGTTCATTTTATGTTATTTTTAAATTTGTTTTCCTTTTTTAATAAATAAATAATTTATATCATGAAAAAATTGATGAAAAAAAAAACATTTTGTGGAATAAAATAATATTACATTAGAAGTGTTACTAAATAATATTACATTAAATAATATTACATTAGAAGTGTTATTAAATAATATTACATTATATATGGTCACCAATAATCGAAAGATTAAATCATTAATTTATTATTTTTTGTGTGATGTAATCTATTAGAAGTGTTATTAACTTTTTTATAATAAATTTAACAATTTTTGTATGATATTAAACTATAGATGTCATTACTTATTAGTATGTTTAATTAGTAAACTCTTAAAAATATGTGAATTAGAATAAATTTACTAACAATTGCTAATGTATTCATAACATCGATTGTCGTGATAAGTCACGATCGGCGATCACCGTTTAAAACTATGTTTTGTAATGTCCTGGTTATTGATTTTCTTACTTATCGGTTGTTAGCACCCAAATTTTCCACCCAAAAAATAAAAAAATAAAAAAAAAACCCTAAAAAATCGGTAAAAATACAATCAATGGATGTAATTGACAAAAAAAGAGGGGAAAGGATCAAAATAAAACAAGGTTGTAAGATGAGGGACCAAACTAAACTTTAGCCAAAACCTTAAAAAGTCAGTATAAATACCATCACTTTCCCATTTCTTAAAACCATCTTCCTCGCTTGACATCGTCTTGTTATAGAACGACGACTCCATCGGGACCATACTTAGTGTTAGGCTTTATATGTAATTTTTGAATTTGATTTCGATGATATGATGAATTTTTTATTCCTATATCTTGATTTATGTAATTTTTCTACCTTATTTAAATTCATGCCTTTATGCCATTATTTGTTTTGTATTTTTGTTTTTGTTGTTTTATTTTATTTTATTTTTGTATTATTATTTGTGTCTTTATTTTTATGTTTAGGATTGAATATGGAATAAAGCCTATACACACACTACACTCATCGTTACTTTTTATTTTTATCATAAACTTGTCTTAGGATTTAGAAAGGTAGTAGTGGTGCCTCGATAGGTTTCGTCCCGAGTAAACACTCACAAAATCTCAACTCTTGTCATAGTCGCTATCGCGTAATGGATAACCGATGATTTTTTACGTTTATCATTTGTCACCTGTAGCATCCCAATGATTTTATTATGATTTGTCGAGCTTGAAGCGTCCCTATTTGAGACTTAGAGGATTTTATTTGATTCATGCAATGATCTAGAACCAAACTTTAAGATCATCATTCACAAGTAAATTCACTAGATAAGTCAAATGTATTGAAACCTTAATCGAGCAATTTGGTCATGACATTTCAAGAAGGATGATAAGAGGATTTAAGTCTAATTTTTACGATATTTAAATATCAAAATGATTTTGAAACTCGATCAAAATATTTCAAGGGCTATTGATGAAACTCAATTTTATTTTTAAACTAATTTGAAATAATTTTAAAATGTCAAAGAATCGATGATTGAATCCTCTTATCATCTACACATGAAGGCTATTATGTATTCGATCCTGAGTGTTGTTTTATTTTTAATATATTGTTTATACCTT